AACAAAAGAAGGAGGGACAGTAAACCGGAAGAGAAGACGTGTAGTAAGGTGAGAGGATAAGAGAGAGAAAGAGAGGGGGAGGGAGAAACGAATGGATGGGAGGAAGTAAAATTGAAATAAAAGCATAGGAATGGTCAGGGTGGAGAAAAACAGTGACTAGAAGGAATAAGGATTGGAAAATGGAGACAGCAATGAAAACAGAGATGATATAAAAAGTTATAGTCGGGGATGAAATTAAGCAGGAAATAATAATAGTTTCTGATTAGTTAGTGAAATGGAAAATCTCAGACAAAGGATTGGAATAAAAAGGACGCTCGGGAAGCATCTAGAAAGGAAAGGATAGTGTATTTAGTTTGTTTTTTTTTTTAAATAAGAAATCCGATAGAAAGAAACATTTAACTGAACAGGAAAAAATATGTTTTTCCTCATTTTAGAGGGAATTTTTTTTACGGATAAAGAAAATATTTGGGCTAAAAATAGGCCTATAAAAAAAGAAAAAAAAAGGAGTAATATTTAAGAGGAAATAAAGAAAAGCATGCTAAAAGATACAGAAATATTTGATAGAGATGCAACAGAGAAAAAATGAACAATTTGAGAGTCGTTCTGAAGAATAGGCATTACAGAGTCCGGTAGATGATAGAAAAAAATTACGAAAGAGAATAAGAAATAAGATTTCTGCAGAGTTATACATATTTTCTAACAAGTACAATACATGGTTATTGGCAATAGGAATAAAGCAAGCTACAAATTGAAAATCTCAAAATCAAGCAAATACAAACTCTCGGGAAAGTGTTTTAACAGACGACGAAAAAAACTGAGACGGAAAACCCAAGGAAGATTTGAATAGAGAAAGACGCCATCCAAAAAACGAAACAATTGAAAAACAGGAAAAATCTCAAAGAAAACAGTGCTTAACAACTGCTACGTAATATCAATCCTTTTATATGGCAATGGACGTTGGAGAAACAATTTCCACGCAGATGAAGGTAAGACTTGAGGCAACTGAGAAGTGGTTTTAAAAAGCTTGCTGAGAATATCATGGAGTAACTACGAAGTTTTAAGGGAAATGGAAAAAAGTATATTTATTCTTAGAATCAGAAAGAGACAACTGAAATTTCTGGTAGACACAATGAGAAATAAAAACTCGGAGAATATGACACTCAGGCCATATTTAATGCAAGAGTAGCAGAGGGAACCATCGTGAAACCTAACGAGCGGGTGTAAATGGATGGTAGAACAAGGCTTGCGACGTATAATACGGAGAAATATTACATAGAGCTACAAAAGTTAGGCAGTTGTGGAGAGCCATGATCCTGATCTTTCGAAATGGACACGGCACTTACAAGAAATTGCAATCTAAATAAACTTAAACATCAGAGTCTTGTGATTATATTTCATCATCTTTCTTGACTGAAAATATGGCGGGAATGATATGCACAAAATATTTCCTAAATGGTATGCATTTTCTTTAAATATCTTCCATGTTTATTGCGCGGGCGTGGTTAAAGTAAAAGTAGTCTAAGCAGAAAATGGATCTAGTGATTAGTTCCTTATTCTCACGGACGCTGTTTGCCTTCTTCTTTCACTAATGTTCTGGGAAACACAAATCCGTCGTATTTTTCCACTAGATGCGATTGAATTAATAAGAAAAACTGGATCCTTTTTAAGGAAAGTAATATAGGTGAAGGGCGGGTCTGAATTTAAAACTGCAATAATATGATTGAGTTGTATCAGGCTGCCACTAACCTTTCCTTGCCTTGTTGCAATGCGTATAGTACAACAAATACCATACATTGGCTGATGAACGCCGGTTAGAAAAGCACTGGAATTTTACTACATTCGGATAAGACAATTCATTCTTTCTACAGAATGATGGACGGAGCTTATAAACAAAAAAGAAATCTTAAAGAAAATGGTAACGGAATGAACATGTATTCTCAGAGTCAGGAAAAGACAGCTGAAATTCCTTGGACACATAAAACATACTGAGGGTAAGAAAGATATGCAGAGGAAGCGAAACACTTATCCGAAAGGCTAGTATGAATCGATAGCCTAACGGGGTAACATGGGTACGGGAGCCTTACATAAGGGAGAAAAACTGTTATGAGCCACACGAGATAAGATATTGTGGGGAGCCATGATCATCTATGTCCTGAAGGGACGTGGCCTACAGGAGAAGAATAAGACTTCATTCTACGTGGGGTTCTTGTTTCTTTAAGAATGTCATGGTTGCAAAATAGAATATTCTACGGCAAAGTTGCAAAAAATGGTCACATCGACGTGGTGTAATGGTTAGGTGCTTGTACCGCTAGACCAATTACCTTTAAATAGTGATTTCGATCTCATTGGGTTTTCCATACACTTGGCCTTGTGCCACATCTAAGCTGCGCTTTGAAAATCACCATAAAGTTGTGAAAAAAAGAGTTGAATTATCGAAATAATTAAATATAAAATTAATAACATTAAATTTAACGAAAAAAGATCCTGAAAATAAAAAAAATGAACAGATGCTATAAATTCGTTGAGAAAGAATGAAGTTAAATGATATGTTATTTAAGCCTTCACCAGTCTACATTCCTTGAATCAAGAGGCAGAACATTGTCAGTATTTGCTAATATACATATAATTAGAAGGCAATGCTCATGTATTGCTTTTATTTTTGTGCTTAAAGTTTGATTTTATCTAACTCTTATAACGTACTTTATCACAGTAGAGTAAGTTGCATGCCCTTATATCCTGGGGAATTATAAAGTACCTTACCACGGTAAAGTAACTTGCATGCCCTTATATCCTGGGGAATTATAAAGTATCTTACCACAGTAAAGTAACGTGCATGCACTTATGTCTTGGTGAATTATAAAGTACCTTACCACGGTAGAGTGACTTGCATGTCCTGGGGAATTGTAAAGTACCTTACCACGGTAGAGTAATTACATGCCCTTTTTTCCTGGGGAATTAAAATGTACCTTACCACGGTAGAGTGACTTGCATGCCCTTTTTTCCTGGGGAATTGTAAAGTACCTTACCACGGTAGAGTGACTTGCTTGTCCTTATGTCCTGGGGAATTATAAAGTACCTTACCACGGTAAAGTAACTTGCACGCCCTTATGTTCTGGGGAATTGTAAAGTACCTTACCACGGTAGAGTAACTTGCATGTTCTTATGCCCTGGGGAATTACAAAGTACATTACCACGGTAGAGTAATTTTCATGTCCTTATATCCTGGGGAATTAAAAAGTACCTTACCACGGTAGAGTAACTTGCATGCCCTTATATCCTAGAGAATTAAAAAGTACCTTACCACGGTAAAGTAACTTGCATGCCCTTATATCGTGGGGAATTGTAAAGTACCTTACCACGGTAAAGTAACTTGCATGCGCTTTTGTCCTGAGAAATAGCGCAAACGTGAAGGATATGCTTTGTGGTAGATAACGGCTAATATTTGGAAATCGGAGAACCTAGTTTCAATTCCAGCCGGGTTCGTTATATTTCACTTACGCACAAATAACCTTGGTAGGAAGCCACCTCTTCTCTCTCCAGCTATGGGTTCATTAGTAGAAATTGTCTCATTAAATCATTATTATCTAAAAAAAAATATTACAACATAAAAATGTTTTCTAGCTTTGAATAACCAGGAAAAGGTAGATATACCGTAAAACATAAATCAGTCAATCAAGAGCCAGACAAATGCTTAGTTAGCTTCTGGTGCAAATCGCAATCGTTAAATGCGCGGTCAGAATCTGAACATTTGCAACAATAGTCAAACATTCACAAATCGGTAAAATGGCTTCTTATGCAGAGGGTCAATGGCGGATGATAAACGACACAGTCAGCCACAACGGTACAGATCAAGCAATTCTTTTTTCTTTTTTAAAAAAATTTTCAACCCGAGTAAAGCGGGAGTGCCACACGTACGCAGGGTTTACAGAGAGTGATGGTGATAGATAAGACTGCGTGTAGGTGGGGTGATTGAAGAAAGGATAAAAGATGTACGGGATTCAAGTATGTAGAAAATGGCGAATTATGTTGCATTAAAATTTTTGAAGATTGTAGTTATCAAGGAAGACAAGTAAGAGGATAGGAGCTCCACTGTCGGGAAGTGCGAGAAAATAAACTTTTGGAGTAGAAGCCCGAGATTAATGGCTGACTTTGTTCATATGGATATAATCTATTGAACTTGTTCAAATCTCACTAAGATTTTTTTTTTCAAATCTCTCTCTGTCCTCCTCATACCATACAAAATTATAAGGGTATACCGTAATATTTAGGTCATGTCTGTATTTCTTGATCCAGCATAGTTCATCTGAACGCACTGAGGAAAAGAGGTTAATAAGTGTTTCCTATCGTATATGTTTATATATTCTCTGGCTATAGGTACCCATGTAAATGAATGTCTGTAATCTAATTTGTACAAAGTATTTTTAGGCAACAGATATTTATTTTTAAGCAATATTCTCTTTACATTTAATTTCAAGAAATTAAATGATGAATATTAATAACGAGGAGAAACGGTGAATACAGATGAACATTCAACTGAGAATTACATGTCTGGCGAAAAGACATATTGGTCCATAGGAGGTATAGGAATGAAAGAAGGAAAGAAGGAAAGAAAACAAAGTGAACGAGAGAATCAATATAAAATAATTATATATCAAAAAGAAAGAAAGAAAGTTGATCAATCAAAAAGAAAAAATACTCAAGGGAACTAAAAAGAAAGAAAGAAAGAAAGAAGCAAGCAAAAACAACCAAGCAAGTTGATTAATCAAGAAACATATAGGTGTCTGAACTAGAAAGTAAGAAAGAAGTTGATCTATCGAATATAAAATGCTTGTCCTTACTGAAAGGAAAGAAAATAAGATGGAAAGAAAGACAGAAACAAAAACGTTAATCAGGCGAAGATATTATAGTTATCCGGGCTAGAAAGAAAGATGTTGATCAATCGGAAATCAAATGCTCATCCGAACTAGGAAAAAAAACAAGGCAGGAAGGAAGGAAGGAAATTAGGTAGGAAAGAAGGTGGGACTTAAGAAAGAAAGAAAGAAAGACCGGAAGAAACAACGAATGAAAAAAAGAAAGAAAGACCGGAAGAAACAACGAATGAAAGAAAAAGAAAAAACAAAAGAAAAAAAAAGAAAGAAAGACCGGAAGAAACAACGAATGAAAAAAGAAAAAAAAAAGAAAGAAACAAAAGAAAAAAGAAAAGAAAGAAAGACCGGAAGAAACAACGAATGAAAAAAAGAAAGAAAGAAAGAAAGACCGGAAGAAACAACGAATGAAAAAAAGAAAGAAAGAAAGAAAGAAAGAAAGACCGGAAGAAACAACGAATGAAAAAAAGAAAGAAAGAAAGAAAGACCGGAAAAAAACGAATGAAAAAAGAAAGAAAGAAAAAAGACCGGAAATGAAAAAAAAAAGAAAGAAAGAAAGAAAGACCGGAAGAAACAACGAATGAAAAAAAGAAAGAAAGAATGAAAAAAAGAGAAAAGGAAAAAAAAGAAAGGAAGAAGTTGATCAATTGGACATAAAATGCTTGTCCGAACCAGAAAAAAAGGAAAAAGAAAGAAAGAAAGAAAAAAGGAAAGAAATTCAACTAACTGAGAATCAGTGAGTCAGAATCCAATTCGGCGTTTGCAGGTTAAAAGGAAATAATAAATAAACCTATTTTAATATGCCAGTTTTAAAACACAAACGATGGCAATAGACACGCATTCTAGATTTACAAAGTTGCAGCTGCTGTCTATTTTTTTCTTTATTTTATTTCTCATAATAGCCTAATGCTTCCTAATAGCTTAATGGACAAAACAAATACTTGCATTGACCATATGAGTCACACACGCACATTGACGCACTAACACACACGTACGTCTACACGCATGTTTGTGAGAGGCGTATGTAAGAGATAAGTAGAAAATAGAAATGATTATTGAATGTTTGAATATAGATTTCGTATTAATATCCCCCCTCTTCTTCTTCTCTATCTCTCTCTTTCTCTCTCTCTCTCTCTCTCTGAAAGCGTATCTTGGGATAAGATCTCATTACTTACATGGAATATGCTGTGTCCGAAAAAAAAAAAAAAAAAGACTCGGTGACTGAAGAAATAAGAAAATTACTAATTACAGAGATCGTAGCATTAAAATATGCTATCTACTTCACCGCTCCCACAACCCATATATATTGAATGGACTTCGAAGATGGAAGCCAGAATACGAATACTGGTACCATTTTTGAAGGCCGGAATGATCTTTTATCTTCTCATCATTGCTCAGCTGGGAAGACTTAATGGGGGTTGACACAAAATGATTTTAATCTCCTCTCTATCTAGATAAATAATTCGAAGGATTTTTAGAGATTCTTACAACAAATGGTGTCAAGATGGCTAAACCACTTACTGAAAATCTGTAAAAAAGAAACTCAATTAAAATAGTTTAGTTGATTTTCAGGTATTAAACATTTTGTGGGATGGCCAATTATCCAATGCTTTTACACGATTTGGACAATTTTGCTGTTACAACCGATATATATATATATATATATATATATATATATATAATTTTTAGATGTGTTGAGTATTTTGCTTGAATATCTGTCTATATTTCTGAGATGAGGTATTATGTACACTATTTACATTATTCGGACTGAACCCTTTATTTCGTTCACTGTGCCATGTGTCCTCAAGGACGCATGGCACAGTGGATAAAGGCGTTGGTTAGATCCAGTGACAGGACCCAAAGAGTGTGAGTTCAATACCCGGTTAAGGCAGTGGAGAACTTGGAGAGGGGAATTAACAGGAGATAACTGATAACTGACATTCATTAAACATAGCACGTGGAACTAGAACAGTCTACACCAGTGAGCAAAATAAAGGGTTCATTTCGACATTCCAACCACTTTAAGAAGACCGGAGCGTACAACGGCCCAAACGTTGTAATAAATATGGCAACAAATATGAGGACAATATTCCGAATAATGTAAATAGGGTATTTTGCTTGAATTTGTGGATAAATTGTCTAAAGTTCATATTTTGTTATATTTATTCAAGTATTTTCGCAGTCATTATCAAGAACCGATGTGATAATTGCGCGGCCTCGTTCCCAATAGCCGTAACACATGACGTCACGCTAGATCATTTCAAGCATCTAACTTCCCAAGGAATATAAGGATGCAGGTAAAGGAATTCTAACTACCACACAGACACCACATCGGTTCTCGATCATCACTGCGCAAGTCGAAAGTACTTGAACGAAAATAACAAAATATGAAATTCAGACAATTTATCCACAATTTCTAGCACAATATTAAACAACTTATTCGAAAATAAGAAAAATACAATAAAAATATGAAGCAGACAGAACTTGTAAGGTCTTTTTAATCAAACTTGTTTGGGTGTATACGTGCTGCCTAAATATACCTTATTCAGATAGATACATATAAAACTACCTTACTCAGATAGATATAAATATACCTTTTTCAGATAGATACAAATATACCTTATTCAGATAGATAGATACAAATATACCTTACTCAGATAGATATAAATATACCTTATTCAGATAGACAGATATAAACATACCTTATTCAGATAGACAGATATAAACATATCTTATTCAGATAGACAGATATAAACATACCTTATTCAGATAGACAGATATAAACATATCTTATTCAGATAGACAGATATAAACATACCTTGTTGAGATAGACAGATATAAACATACCTTATTCAGATAGATATAAACATACCTTATTCAGATAGATACAAATATACCTTATTCAGATAGATAGATACAAATATAGCTATAATACAGTACTTCTTTGAGAATACATCCTGCTTCAATTTTCTCATTTTTTTTCTAAAGCGACTGATTAAATTACGCCTAATGTTTATGTTGTTTTATGAGGTTCATCGTTAAAAAAAGATGAAAATATTTTTTTATGAGACATAAACAACGAAAAATTGATATAAATAGTTGTAAGTTCCTTATGTTAACCGTTTTAAATTTGTTCCTGTCTTCAGTGTTTTTGATGTACGACTCACGTCTGGTAACTTTGAAGGACTGTGAGAAATATTTTAAGATATATTGAACAAAAACCAAAAGAAAATTACACGTTGGTGAAAACCTAAAAATGATGTCAAACGATTTCAAAATATAAAGCAAAATTATTTTCGAGAACTATATACAGTAGAGATATTTCTATTTCTGATACGAATTGCTACGTCAATGATTAGAGAACGTGTGGGCTTACTCCATTGTCTGCCAGATATCTTTTCCTAACGGCTACACGGCCTTATATAAATGGGTGCGTAGAAGACAAAGCAGAATCTATCTCTCTTTTTTTTCTGTTAAATCCACAGGATCGCTCTGGGAGACTTTTTAGTCCCCGGCGAAACACGTGTCCTATTGAACACAATAGTACGCTGCTGACAAATGTCTTAGATTTACTTGATTACACACAGACATACCTACATATTTTAATATTTATAGAAGAATTAGAAACAGAAAAATTACTAATGAACAAGAACAAAAAGACTAAACAAGACAGTAAACAGCGATTGACATAGAATTTAAATATTTGAAGATTAAAGTTGGCTGGAAAGCATGGAGCTGAAATGGAGTTCCTTTAAGCGAGAATATATATATATATATATATATATATATATATATATATATATATATATCGCTGGTGTTAATAAAACATTGATCGATGTAATAGAGCTATTAAGTGTATATTAATAAATATACGTATTGTTCCTCAATGCTAGCCTGATTGGAAGTTTCATGCACAACGCAATCTTCAAGTGGTGAATATATGAATATATATATATATATATATATATATATATATAATATATATATATATATATACCGCATGCGTGTATGTGTATCGGATCACTGTACCAGTAGTACCTACCACAGGGTCGTGTTGTCGGCTTATCTGATGAGATTAGATAAGTGTATCTGGAAAATCATTGTTATGTCTAAAAAAACTGTTAATATAATACTCACTAAAAAATCTTAATAATATATATATATAGATAGATAGATAGATAGCGTAAAGGCGCTACGAAACAAGACCTTACTGGGTGTGACAAAATTAGAAACAGAATCATTACTAATGAGCAAGCACAAAAAGAGTAATGAGGAGAACAATAGATAGCGATTGACATAGCATTTAAATTTTTGCAGATTAAAGTTGGCTGTAAAGCATGGAGCTGGAAAGGATTTCCAAAAGCGAGAAGTGCGCTAAAAGTAACTTTTAGCATATAATTTGCAATTAGATCTTGCCAACTCAGTTGAAAATTAGTGAAAACATTTCGCCATTTCTGTACCCCGCTTATATTCATAAAATCTTGGTACCATAGCGAAGAGCACAGACAAAAATTTCCATTAAAGTAATTATAGAAAAGACAAAGGGATGCGGTGGGAAAGTGACTGAAGCTGAGCTACCAGATCAGGACTAATAATATTGCTGATTTTTCTTTGGATTTTATCAAGAAGCTCTAGATAACTAGCACGATCACCGGTCCATATGTAGCAGCAATATTCTAAGCATTGACGCATAGTTGACTGCTAGATATGTAAGATATTTTGGGAAGAGAAAAATTGTCTCGCACGACATAGTGAAACAACCTTCTTAACAGCTGACCTAGCAATGGATTCAATATAGTCTTTCCACTTCATGTCAGTCGGGAATTATTTGAATATAATCATATTTTACCGTTTGAAATAAAATTAAATTAAAAAAAAAGAAATCAAAAGTCATATTAAAGAAAAGATTCCTCGAGAAAGAAAGCGATTTGGTAAACCACCTTCAAGAGAAACAGGCTGTTTTGTTAATCATTTTACCCTATGAAAGGCGACAACGCTACGAGATTCGAAGGTGTCGTGGGGAGCGGAAGAGAATGAGAAGACTTTAGTTAGAAGAAAATACAATAAAAAGACAGAGGCCTGGAAAAGAGAAGATGGCGATTGGCGTCGCATGTTGATGGATTCCCTCCCCCTTATAGGTGGCAAGATAGTGAATTACTGCCCTACCCCTGACGATAATCACAACAAAATATGTTTCTCAAATCAAGTAACTGTTATCGTTCATTTCGTTATGGAGGAGTGGGGACTTCATTTCTTACCTTTTATTTGAAGTAGTGCGGACCTTCAACGTCTTGCTTATAATATTATTCCCTCGTTGTGTGCTATCTATCTTAGCTTTTGCTGCTGTTGAAAATACTCAAGTGGTGTGGTTTCTGCTATCCGTTATAGTTTATTGTTTGGAATTCTATAGCGCCAGTCTACGAAGTTAGAAGTATAATTATTGCTAAGACCTAAATGTTTCACTTTATTGAAGCCATTTTGAATCATCAATCTTTGAGAACCGTTGAATATAGCTGGAAATTTAAATACTTCTTAACGAATGAAGCGCCATACATGGCCTCCATATGAAAGCTTCGTTCTGACGTACAAGAACATGACTCGAGTTCTTAGGTTAAAACTGTCCCTTGCACAGCTACTGTTTGATTTCTTTATCTCCTATACTAAATTTATTAGAACTTATCCATAAATCAGACAGTTTGAAGCGTTAATTATTTACATATTTCAATCTTGATTTTCTATAATATATTCAAGTTAGGTGCCAACACTGCTATAACTTAAGGTATATATTGGATTCTATCTGTTGAGAATAAACACCAGCATAAACCTATAGTACCCAAGAGATCATTTAAACCAGTAGAACGATTTTACTTTAGGATGTTCAGGAATATGACTTACTGAGAGCCTGGTACAATAATTAACAGATTAGGAAATGTGATGTACACAGTACAAGGTGAAAAGGTTAACCACAGAAGACATATTGACCAAATACAAAAAAGACTGGTTGAAGAGCCAAGCTCGTCACCCACTGAAAATGACGATTCAATGGATGCAACCTTTGAAGCTTTTGAGATTCAAAGACCACAGGAAGAAACAGAAACTAGAAGGTCAAGGAGGAAGAGAAAATAACAGAGCCTCTGATTATCGAT